CAAAAATCACTACCACAATTCAATAAAAACAAGTCAAAATGGTAACGTCTAATAAAGCTTTCGGCGGGTTAGCCAGTATCGGCGGTTTACTGCCGATACTCGGCTAACCGGTTCACCACGTTATACGTGTGAATGCTGATAAGCTATGGTAACTTTACCATCGAAGCTGAGTTGGGGTGAAATGGTGCCCCGGTGGTGTAACTGGTAGCACAATTGCCCGGAAAGCGAAGAGATCGGGTACGAATCCCGGTGGGGCGAAGGTTTTGCCCACAACTGAGCATTCTTGTGATTATATGTGTTCTCAGCTGTGGTAGTTAGGCCTTTGTAAAGAATGCCGTCAAAGTGGACGCACAAATTTATTTCCTAATTCTGCGAGGAATAATCTTACCTGCACGTGGTGCGATTTTAGCGTTAGAATCTTAGTTATTATATGACTGCCGTTGAACAGCTTTTTTTTAAATTTTGCCTGAGCGTTATGTTTGTTCTTATACTGCGCCTCCATTTCAGGGGTTGCGTATTGTGTTTGAAGATGGTTCACGTCTAGTGTTCCGTCTTTCCGGAACAGGATCGGCAGGAGCCACTATTCGTCTTTACGTAGATTCATACATACCGGCGAATGATGCGAACAGGCTCTTTGCACCTGCTCAGGTAATAATTGCTCCAGTTCAGGTCTGGAATTTAAGATCAAGGAACTCATATCTGAACATGACAGACGTACGACCTCTTTTCACGACCTCCACCACAATGTCTCCTCAACAGTGTTTGGTCCTGCCCTGCGCCATATGACGCACTCCATCTCCGCCCCTAAAGCCCCTCTAAAACTGCTGCCGAACGGGAGTGGAGTGGGAGGGGTGGGTAAATACACCTGTGCAGATCTGAAGCAGCGACTTCCTACATATTTTCAACAATTTCGCTTCATGTGACGTGTGCTGAGACGTATAAAGAGCTCCCAATCTCTGAAAACGATCTCGCGTGTTTCAGAAGACCTAAGCTTCCACCACCACGACCCCTTTGAAGCCCGCCCCGGTAACTTGTCAACCGCAACTCTTTGTGATTCGGCTTTTTGTAGTGATATTTGGGGCGTCTCGTAAATGCACGCCATTACAGCATCTCTGCTTCATTTCCACCCTTGAAAGGCTTAGCCTTTATACTACACAAAGCATTTTTTTGGCTAGACTCTTACGCCTTGGTTAACAGCAGCCCGTGACCGTTAACACAACGAATACGGCTATTCCATCCAAAAATTCACAAATACAAATGCTTCTAAACGTCATCTAATTGTGTGGTTGTATGGTTCGACGATGATATTACTTTATTGCGTATATGATCGAGTAATTTTGATGTCTTCATTGAACACCAGTCTTCAATAAATATAATTTTTAAAGTAGCTGGTTACAGGAGCTCCTCAAGCCGTTGGTCCTCATTGCACTGGATCTCTGCAAAATGGAGCAATTCACACAAAGAACGGCGCCTACTGTAATTACATAATTTGTTCTTGTATGTCGTAGAATATGTAGATGATTTCATAGTTTGCTTACAATGCTCATTTTTTAGGTACGAATTTTTTAGCTTGTTTTAAATCCGGTGTGTTTTATTAGTGCATTTATTGCATTGCGTGTTTACATACATTTTCCGTTGTTTGCGTGCCTCCTAGTCATGACCTTCATTGACATGTAAGTGCCATAGATACAATAAAGACTACTTATCTTAGTGTGACTTGATGAGAACGATGAATAATGAGAGAAACACCATGTGGATCCTTTCGAAAAAATGTGAAACTCGAGCGCGGCGTCAGTTACTGACTTGTTTCATGAATTCCCTTTCAGAGCGTCATTAGTGTTTGTATTGTGGTCACCGTGTGCAATCCGATGTAGTAGTGCGCATCTGTAGGAGTGGCTGTACTAGTGATGTCGATTGTATTTTATTAGTAAGAGGTCTGTTTTAGTTTAGTGACCTAGCTAATTTCGTTCTAGGACCATATGCAGCAGTAACAGCCAATATGGCTCTTCAAACGGCGTCTCTGGATACTCCCTGAGGCTGCTTTCATAGTCTGCGTCGTCGGCACGTTTTGTGCGGGACCGCACGGACAATGCGAAGAGCGTCAACACGCGCTCTGGCGCACAACGCGTACATGGCGCAGAGTCGACGTCTTGCGCGTCAGGGCGTCGACTCTGCGCATAGTGCACGCATTAACGCTCTTCGCACTGTCCGTGCGATCCATACGAACCATGCGGATTGCGTCCGCGACGGCGTAGACTATGAAAGCAGCCTATCTGAATCAATGGGAGCGTTCATTCAACGCAATGATAGCGGTTTTGGGCACAGCTTTGTCCCTGGCGGTCTGCTGGCATACAGCCTGCTTGTTTTTAGATGGAAGACGGCCCTAACGCACATACGGCGTGCTGTGTGTTAAGGAAGATGTGGGCCTGATTAGTAGGGGAGTGTCCCCGTATCGGCATAGCCCTCTGCTGCTCATGGCTGTGTGATCCAACTAGAGACTGATGCTAGTGCATCAGTACAGTTGTTTCTGCGCGGACGAGTATTTGTGTGTGTCATTGCAGACTCGCAAGCGGAGGCATGACGCCATGTCGGTGCACTCTTTGCACGAAAAGGGGGATGCTTCCATATTTGTTTTCTGTAGGAAAGTCCTTCCTTTTAAAATATTTGTGGCTAGCATACAAGCATACTATTAAATACACCTATCTATTTTGGTTAAGAAAACCAAATAAAACTCGGAGTTTTTTATATCACTCCTCGAGATGTGTCTACATCTTAATTACATAAAGGAACGTCAGAAGCACGCATGGGAGAAGATTTTCTTTTCGAGGCACCCCGTCACTGATGTCGGTGCTTGCAGGGAGTCCGCAAGCATAGCAAAAGTGTGGGTTCTTGAGAAAAAGAAAACCACCTGCACTACAAAGTCAAAATTTGGATGGTTTCTAAGCTTTCGTCACGATTGATCAGTGCATTTTTATTTCAAGCTCATTTCGTTTGAATTCGAAATGTAACATTCTTTTCCTAAGAACTTTGGCCATTATTTCAGTTAGAGGCAAGAAGAGATGTGTGATAATTCGTCGTGCAGGACGATCCCGTTGGAACCATTGCCTGCTGGCGCATACAATGCGTAAGTCCCATCGTTTTGCTCACTTTTGTTGGTAATCCAGATAGGCTCCTATTAAGGTGGATCGACTTCAAAGCCTTGCATCTTTCACTCAATAGAATGGAGCACCACGTCGATCGCGGGAATACGGCCCCGGACGAGCAAGGCAACTTAGCTAGCCGAGACTTGGATATCAGCTTATATTTCCTCAACAGTGAAGCAACCACGTCTGATGACGGCCTCCACTGCCAAGTTTATGGCTACTATGCAAACGTTGTCAAAGTAGTGCACGGAGAGCGTGCTTGTTCAGCCGGCACTGATCATTCGCTCGTGCGATGACTTTCACCACTCGTAATGTGTCCTGGTCCTAACTTATATATTTCAGGTTACGCACCAGCTCCGTCAACTTTCCATGTACCATATGCAGTACCTGCAGAGACAGCTTATTCAGTACCCAACCAGGAGTCACATGGCGACATTGACATGCGCGACGGTAACACCGTGCTAGCCGCTGCCAAAAGCGATTCTTCATCGTCTCATTTGGTAATACTGAGATTATACTTTCATTAGGTGAAAACCATTTAGAAACGATTGCTGTGAAGTTCACTAGGAGTATCACTGTGGTCTAGCCAATCATGGTTTGGTCGGACATTCGACAGGATTGTGAACGTCGGTGCAGTGTGCCAATCGATCATCTCTAAGTTGTTCTTGTTTTCTTCAGGATTTTCTATCTCTCAGCCAGATCGCAGAAGAGCTGGCAGGAAGATTCAAACGACGCGATGCAAGGTTCATGCCCTAAAGGATTAAGACTCTCCATTACGAAGGCGAGTTTATGACCCGTTTTTTGTATGATAGGAGGTTTTCGAATTTCATCGGGGCGTTCAGTGGTCTTACCTCCACGCATCGAAGTCAAAATCTGAAGAGTTCAAAGGTATGTTGTGAATGCGAGGCTAAATTGAGGAAATGAACGTGTGCCCAAATAATATGCAGGCAGGTAAAATTATTTAAAAAATACCCGTCATGATGTTTTTCGGGAACGCGTCAATGCCCTTGCCAGTTGCTAATCAGGTCCGCCCCAAAGATCTGTTATAACCTTATCAGCTGTGGCCATTTCCTCCTGCTTCTCCACCACAAATGCCCCTCTGTTTGATTCCGGCCATGTCAATATTTCCCAAAACCTAACCACTTCTTTGTTTCTGATGACAAGAACTCAAGACCAAAAGTTCAGCTAACTTCGTATAATGTATGCTACAGTAATGTGATTTACGAATTAAAGGCAAAAGTCGGGCTCAATAAGGGGGTATTATGGCGATTGAAACTGAGTATAGAGATGCGAAGTGGAACGACAGTGGAGAAAAAACTGAGAAAAACCGTCGACAAGGCCGTTAACAAAACCCTCTTTCCCACTAGCAGTGAAGGAGGCTGGCTTGGGGAAGAGGCACGTACAAACAAGTTTTCTGGAGATGTCAGTCGTTTCGGTTGATACGGCAATCAACCTAGCTGATTTCACACGTTATGCCAGCCACGCACCACTTCCGGAGGTGGGCGGTCCTGGATTGACCAGGCGGCCCTGGATTGAAACCGAACGCCCCGGGGCCTTAACGGGTTTTTCAAGGTGGGAAGTTGCTGCAATGTGTGCAGCTACCCACATACAACCTCCAGGCACGGGAATTACTTCTCTAGCGTGCCTGAGCCCGACCTTTGCCTTTAAGGTTCATAGATTTTCTTTATTGAAATCTTCATACCTTGTACTGAGTTTTTTGCCGGCACAAAAAGATAATCCAGAATAGTTGCAGTAAGAATTTCTGGTGACGCGAAAGCTGGTCGTGGTCGTTGCGGCTTTGTTTGATGATTTGTTCTGCATATCTTTGCTACTTAACTTTTGCGACTTCGACAAGAGGCCAAGAAGATTGCGAAAACAGCAACCGATGACTCTTTGCCGCAAGAAGAGTTGTTGGATGAGAGCACTTCTCTGCTCGACGTGACGGAAAGCACTCCCTCTAGCAGCAAGGCTTCACGCAAGGTAGGCTTGGAAACTGTTGCCTAATTTTTCCTTTCGTATTTTTTCTTGAGAGTTTGGTGGTATGGATGCATGGCAAATGTAAGTGAATAAGCATGGCTGCGGTTATGGTTGGGATTTTATTGGTGCTTGGTTTTCAGGCATAGTGAAGGGAATAGCTCGCTGACTCCACTCATCTGCATTTGGTTATAATAGCTCATCCTTAGGATTAAATGCATATTCATTTTCAGCTGTCTCCACCAAAAACATGCGGTCGCCGAGTACATTCCTACTCCACTTGCAGAATTGGAAAGAATGAAGCAAGAAGAGAAAAAGCGAAAGAAGAAGAAGGATAAAGAGTATGAGCCATCTTTTGAAGAAGTGAAGGAAAAATTGAAAGCTGGACCAAGCAAGCGGCGGCTTCTCAGCGAAGACGAAATTTCTACTCTTTTCGAGGTCGGTTTTTTTTTGAGTCCCATTAGGGAGATGTCAGAGTTCGCAATGGGGGCCGTGTTTTGGCGCCCATGCAGCATTGACACGTGACAACAGGAACACGTGCTCGAGTGACGGTGAGCAGCGGATTTAGGGTGCTGCTGTTGTTGTACGTAATAAACGGGACGATTTAGCCAGGAGGAGGCGCTCAGCTAGGCCGTATCTTTCCTGGGCCCCAGGCAAGAGAAGAAAGTCCTTTTCGAAGTTTCTCTAACGGACTGTCGTGTACCTACAAGTAGTACATGCTCTTTCAGCACAGATATATCTCTGACATATGCCTTTCTTAAGCGGAATTTGGGAAGACAGAAGAAAATTTTGAAGGCTCTGTAGATGGGGAAAGGATTAGGATATGCCCTGTAGGGAGGCCATTGTCCTCGTTCTCGCAAGTATCTGATCGAACCCGCTCTTCGTCAAGGCACTGGAACTCGTTCTGTTAAATTCAGTCAATGTGCTACCCTACTATGAGCTTAGTAGTTTTACGATACGATTCTTTGAAAGCTGCGGTAGGAGCTGCTCTTCAACAGCACGGGACGCCCGGATGATTAGGCGCACGTACAATGGACATGCTGCATTAGGCATATCATGTTGCGAATCGAACTTTGTAGCGAATCGTGATTCGAATATGTCTTTCGGCCTTTCATCTGCTTGGGCGTGAAGGTACATTGGGACATTTTGTGGGATTTTTCACGGGACCGCTTTCTTTCTCTATACGTAGTTGCTGAGTTTACGGGTACGTGAAGTCCTTCTATGGTCTTGCACGGTGGTGAGAGCACAGGGCGATAGGATGCGCCTGTCGGTCCAAATCTTAGGTGGGAGCCCTAGGACCACGCCATGGAGGGGGAGGGACTCTGGGGTGGATGAGACAATCACAGTGTGGCAAATTTTGAATGTGTGATATCTCAGTAGTCATAAGCCACTGTTTAGGGGAGAGAGCGTAGGCGGAAGCATCAAATTGAGGTGGTCTAAAGGACCGAGTTCAAGTAGTCCGTCGACCATATTTGCCTGGTGCTGACGTCGACATCCATCTCATTGTCTTTTTTCGTTATGTCACATTCACAGCTGGGAGTTGTTCGGGATTGAGCTCCTTCATGTGCTCCCCCATGAAATTTTGAAGCTGCAGAACTGTATCTTTTTTGTTCGTTTACTAACTTGTTTGGAGTTTAGGATACTCCAGAGCCTAAGCGAAAAAAGGTGAAAGAGGAGAATGTCTTGTCAAAAAAGGTGGGATCATTGACCGCTGTGCTTCTGAATTTCTCAGCTACTCTGAATCTTTTTGTCACAATGTGTAATTATGAAACGTTCTGTTTAGAGGGAGAGAAGTCATTCCAAAAGAGCCAGTGCTTCCCCCTCCAAGTCTCCGGAGGTGGCGTCAGATCCATCACCTCTGCTGAAGTCTTCTAAGAAAGAATTGGAACGCAAATCGGTCGTGGTTACCAAGGACGTGGAAACCTCGTCTTCAGCAACTTCCAATTCTACGGAGGATGTCAAAGAGACTAGTCCAGAGCTGTTGGGAGCTACGAAGAAACGGATCGCAAGAGAAGGGGTCAGCTCATCAGTTTTTTAATTGTGTTATACTTTGAATTTTGAAGTTTGAAGCTTTTATAACTCATTCTGATCCATTGCTGACCGCTTGCTGCGCCATGTACAGCACGCCACCGCGCGAAAACGAGGTCTATCTTCGATTTAGTTGCCATTTTTCTACATAACAAATTCATCAATAAGTTTTTCCGAGCGCAGAAGTCATCACATGTTAGTATAGTCATAAAATTACTGTTAAATTACGGTTAGTGACGGAGCAGACGGCAAACCAAGGAAAGTGCACACCTAACGGAGGTCTGCAATGGATTAAAGAAGTGGAAATTTTCGAAATCTGTTGAGGAACTGTAAGCCATCCAGTTCCAGTTTTTTTATTACGTTTTGAGAAAAACAGTTATCTAATAGCGGAATGCCTTCAGGTGAACAGTTGTAAGGTGTAGTATTTTGTTTGAGTTTTGTTTCTTTGTTTAATTTTTTTTCATGGCGGGAAAGTTGGATAACTAAACTGTTAGGGAGAAGTTTCTTCCTCTTCGCGCATCTTATCATCATCTCGTGAAAAATTCAACTTCACTAGATTCGCAGGCATTTTAATCGATTTTTCAAGAAGTTCACAAAATAAGTGTAAAGGAAAGCTTCTTTAACACCGCTCCGACCCTTTGCTTTTCTCCGATATCAGAAAAACGTCAAGAATATTTGTTTGTTCACGAAGAAGCAGTTTTTGAATGCTCGATGTTCACCTGTATCACCTGTCGTCCCGTTGATCGTCGATTTGCTCGAGCGGGCGCCAGCAACGTCTCCATTCGTCCCTGTCGCGTGCAGAGTGGTCCAGTGGATCCTCCTCGCTCGAGGGACACGAAGTCCTTCATTCCTTTCGTTCAGAGCTTTCGTGAAGAAGTCTGACCATCGGGCCGGCGGTCGTCCAGAGGTGTTCGTTTGACGTCCCGAGGGATCCAGTCGGTAACCGCTCTGGTCCAACGGTCATCGCAAAATCGCATGACGTGTCCGGCCCACCTTATCTTCGATTCCTTGGCGAAAACGGCAGCGTCCCTGATCTTCGATCGTTGGCGTAGTTCGAACTCCGGATTCCCCTCTGCACTTGCGTGTATAGGGTTACTCCTAGCATCGTCCTCTCGACAGCGCGTTGGATAACGCTGATTTGCTCGTTATTAGGTCTTTAGATTCGAAAATTTCGATCTGGATAGGGGCTCACCTCTGATAAGTCAAGTTTGGCCAAGAACATCAAAATCTGAATAGGACGATGGCCCGCCATACAAACGGTGGAAGAGAATGTGGGCAGTGTTTGTCAGCCACAAGTTACTGCTAATCGACTGGTCTTCAATACAGTCACCTCTCTTCTTTGTGGAATGTTCAGAGCTACGCACTTAGCCGAATTTCGTCGAAGTTGCCATTTTTGAGCGTAAGAAGCAAATCCAAATCGCTCTCTTCGCTATATTACCCTCTCCGTAAACAACAAATGTCGTGAGCTGCTTTTCAGGATTAGGATAGAACAAAAGGTCAAAAATGTGTTTTTTTTCTTGTAACAAAATTTCCTACTGAAGTTCAAAAAGAGCGAGGTGAAGTCAAGCAAAAACGAAAAGCTGCGAGAACTCATATTACAACCTATCAAAATTATTGACCATTTTGTTTACCACTGGCCCTGCTAAGTCTTGTTTTGATCCGTTTTCTGCTCGTTTCCTGGTGCCAGGAAGGAAGTGATCGCTGATAAAACGAACGCATTTAGGGAACAAATTCCGCAGCTAGGTCACATGTATACGCCATGTGACCTAGCTGTGAAATTCTTGCCTTTACTCGATCCGAAGCAAGCAGAAAATCGCTGCGGAATTTAATTTTTCTTGATCTTATATCAATTATGATTCGTTCACTATCTACAGTAATATTATTATTTTTCACATCTAATGGTTTACGCCGCGCATCTAATGGTTCTACATATTCAATACTCCCTTCGTCCCTCTCACTCTACTCCAAGTGGTCACTCCCACCAATCCGAAGCTAGCTTTCCTCGCGAAAGAAAAATTCTATTCTCTTCTTGTTCAGGTTACAAAATATCTCTTGGGCAGGGGTGGGGTAGGGTAATTTTCCCGGAGTTTCTGGCTATTTCTCAGGTCCCTAAAAATATGTTCCCTTGGAAATGGACTAGCAGTCACCTAAGTGAACTCCTCCGGTTTTGTAAAAGTGAAGTTACGGACCTCTTCCTCGGCGCTGTTTATTACATTGGTAAAGTGCCATTTTTCGCCTCTCGGAGAGGTTGCACTATTTGCTGGAGTACATCTACGAGAGTAGCTTTATCACAAGTGTAATCGTTTTGGACTCAAACCATTTCTGGCATGTATTTGACACATGTCCTCCGATATCCTCCGATTTGGTGCAGGCGAAGAATTTGGAACAAGAAGCTAGCAGAACTTCAGTTCCCACTACCCAATTGGGTTTCGATACAAATCCCCTTCCTTTCGAACATAGCAAACCTTGAATAAGAAGAGCACTTTCATAGCCCGCTTTAGGTCGAATCAAAGATCTGTTATCAAACGTCTGTTTTTCCGACGGACAAATTTACTGGGACATTGCTGCTAAAGAAACGGAAAACTAGTTTTTAAAACATGGCGCACCGTGTGTCCACATGTGGCGCACGATTTCGCCACGAAACAGTCATAGTTTTAATCTGATTTATTTGACATTAGTCAATGCTCTTAAACAGTATGCACTCATTTTCAGAGCCGGGAAACCATATGTATCATCACTGATGAAATTGTTGATAGATAAATTATGACAAATTTTTGAAAAATGTAAAAAACATATACCCTCGCCTTCAAATGACCAGAAATTGTGCAATTGCAGAAATTGACGTGGCATTAACGTGGCATCGATTCAAGAACATCTTTGAGCACACGTGATGTCACCTTTTCATCGAGAATTTAGCCACGTGTGCCAATGCCACGTCAATTTCTGCAATTGCACAATTTCTGGTCATTTGAAGGCATGTGACGGTACTAGATGCGAGGCCAAGAGTTCCTCCGCAGCGTTGCGCGGCAAAGCGCGAAAGTAGGTCACCGCACGCGGCGGCCATCTACCGTATCCAGGTCCTTGCAGCTTGAAACGTATCAAGCTATCAGGACCAAGCTAAAACAAATGCAATGCAGGATGGGGCCTTACACAGACGGGCCAGGAAAGCGTTGTGTCGATCGTCTGGAGAGACGGGTCCTGAGCCTTGCAGTTTGAAAATTTTTTCAACAGCCATAAGACGCCGGCGAGCGTCACCTACAGCGCGCAACGGTGAACTAAGTTCTTGGGGCGCCGCGGCTCGCGCAAGGGGCGACTTCTTAGACCGTCTTCCAAGTACGTTTCTATTGCGTACCGTATCAATGTTTACCCATACAAAGGCGGCGTCCTCAAGTGTTAGAGAACTCTGACACATGTCGGACAAGCTCAAGCACAATCCTACAAAACAAACATATGTCAAACATTTGTAGAATCTGCTGAGCCTTGAGAACAGTAGTTAACAAGAAAAGGCATGTCAAGAGCTCAAGTGAGCTTCCTTCTATATTCCTTCTATAGTAGGAGCTTCATTCCTAAGCTAATTTTCGAACTCGTTTGTGCGGGATTTTTTTTGTTTTTTTTTTTCAATGCTTGTTTTTAAGAAGGAGGTAATAGCCGGATAAAGGATAAAGGATAAAGCATTTGCCGTTGATCAATCCCTTTTTGGGATGCGGCACGCATTCTACTTCCATTTGTACATTCGTAGTGGCGTTTGAATGCGATGTGGCCTATACAATGACTTGCGGGGGCCAGCCGATGTACAAGTCAGTGTTTTTATCCTCCCAGACAAGTCTGGTACCAATTAACCGACCCCGGAGGGATGGAAGGCTTGGTTGGCCCGGGCGACTCACGACCCAGGATTTGATCCCCGGACCGCTCGCGTGGTAAGCGCGCCACTTGTCACTACACCACTTCCGCCCGTTATTTATAAGTTCGTTTTTTTTTCATTATGTGCAGCCAAACACACTATTTGCGCAGCACTTCCTCCGTCCCTCAAAAACTGCCCAAAGAAGCTCGCTAGAAATATTGTTGCATCTATAGGTACCGGATATCTTAATGTCGTTTTTTCACCAAGAGTATTGGACCAGCAATATTTCAGTTCAAAACCCGGGGAGGGAGTTAGTTTAATCATAAAATGACTTACTAGGATCCCCTCATCTAACAGTTAGAGTGGCAACCTTGCACGATCCAAGCTCGGAATTTTTTGAGTTAAAAAGTAGAGGCAGGTCGGTTTTGACATCCTCTGATAAATCATCCCTGTTACTTGCTTAAAAGTAAGGCCTGGACAAAGTAAGTGTACAGCTGGTTAGCGTAGGGTCTGCATTGCACGACAGAAAAATTAGAACTTATCAGCCTAAGTGGGCAGTTTTTTACGGAGACTTTTTTGCAACATAGGGTCAAAAACGCACCCTTTTTGAGCGCGCGTGAGGGGCAGGTGAACACATTTATCAGAATATCTTGCGGAATCAAATCCATAGGAATGTTTGCGCATCATCATTCCATCAGAGTGAAAGTATCCTACCATTTCAGCACAAGTCTGGTGCAGCCCCTTCTCAGCTGGCTTAACTAGGGCCATCTTTTTGAAGACGATTGCCGGCATCCTTTCAAAAACTTCACTGTCTTTTAGGAAACCTGAGGAGAACCGTTGAGCATTCCAAACGGTAGTATTCCTTCCAACAAAAGCAATGTTAGTTTGGTTGGCGGATCTGTAGCTCCCAGCCCGACTTGGATGGCATTTGGTACACACATACGAATTTGCGCAATGAACCCAGGAATTTTCAGAAAAAGGTAAAAAATTGGGGGATTGTAAAGTAACAAT